TGCCTTAGGCACTATGCTACCAGAGCTCCTATTCCTTCAAAAGTTGGAATTAGAAATACCATTTGACCCAGCCATTCCATTACTAGGTATATATCCTAACAACGTGAGAGCCATGACAAGAACAGACATATTGCACACCCACTTTCATCACAGCACTATTTACAATAGCCAAAAGATGGAAACACCCTAGGTGTCCTTCAACTGAGGAATGGATAACCAAACTATGGTACACACACACAATGGAATACTGTTGTTGTTATTTGCCGTCGAGTCGGCCCCGACTCATAGCGACCCCTCCTTGGGTTTCCGAGGCACTATGCAACCCTAAAGAGTAATCTAGAATCTGCAAAACATCGCAAAACGTGGATGGACTCGGAGGATATTATGCTGAGTGAAGTAAGTTGATCACAGAAGGACAAATAATTGTATTAGTCTATTATTGTAAAAGTCAAGGAAAGGTTTCTATGTGGAAGGAAATTTTCTTCGTTGCTTACCAGGGGTAGGAAGTATACCATGCTATCCATAGCCTATACAACTATGAGACAAGAAGAGATAGATGGTGCCCAGCTACCACTGTCAACCACTCGGTGGGGGATCTATGGAGGAGATCCTGGATAGAGAGGGAGAACAATGTGGAACTAAACTCAATCATTTGAAAAAAAAAAAAAAAGGGCGGGGGGAGGACCAGGTTTGCTGGTCTGATAAAGCCTGGTAGAACCACTGAGACTATGGCCCCTAGCTTCAGGTCTGGAATTGAATCCACACCTGTGGCTTCCAGCCAAACAAAAGACAGTCATATGAGCTGAACATTTACCCTTGGACAGAACTACCATGGGAGAAAAGAAGAGCTGTTTATGTACAGGGAGACAGCTCAGGGGGCAGGAGTGCACGGAGGGATGGACACAGGAAAGAGATAATTCTCAGGAGGAAGTGGGAGGGGAGCTGTTGCATTGCAGTAAATTGTAGTCATTGTCATTAGACAAAATATATGTGAACTGCTGTATGGAAAGTGAATTTGCTTTGTAAATTTTCACCCAAATCACATACACAAAAAACCCCTATTCTCAGTTTTTTAAGAAAAGTAGTATTTGTGACTTAAAAACTGGAGTTACAACTATAAAGTAAGTTACTTCTCCATTGGTTTAAAACAAGATTTCCCTATTAACTTTTTGCTAGATGATCTTACTCTAACAATCATTTACATAAAAGAAGTGTAGACTCACATTTTCCTAGTTCAGCACAAGAGTGAAGAAATCAACTAAAGTAACTTGTGAGAGTTTTCCCAGAATAAACTTTTTTTCTGATTAAAGAACCTTACTTTCAAAACTAAATGACTAAAGAAAATAAACATGAAGGATTAACAGAGTCAGGTGCTCTGTTTCATTCAATTTACACCATATTTTAGTCTTCCAGCTTTCACTGTTATCTTTTCATCGCTCCAGATATTACAGGTATTTGACCTCAAAGAATGGGAACAATATACAAGAGACTCTTAGACAGGAGCATTTCATTATGACTTCCCCAGGTTTCACCTCAAGTTTTAAAATTTTAGTAACTGATCTTGAGGCAGAAAGCAGATAAACTAAGAGAAGGTCTTCTTCCTAGAAATTTCTGTTTTAGTGGGAAAATAGGAAAAATAAGGCTAATTCACCAATAACTACTTAAATAACCTTAACAGTTTCACTACAAGTTGTTAAGTACAAATTTCAAGCTCCCATTTCATTCATTAAAAAAATAAAAATGTCATGATCCAAAGTTTCCAAAAATACTTTCTATCAAGTCTTAATCATTATTAAATTTCCATTTAAGTCATGTCATTAGCTACTGTTGACTCCAGTTCAACATCACTTTACACACAAAAAATACACATCCAAAAAATGTTCTGAGAGGTATCTTGCTAATTTTTCATAATTATGTCTGCGCATGGGAGTATGCAAAGTTTAAAGGTTGTTTTTTTTTTTTGAAGTTTGGTTTCTTTTTTTTCCGTGAGGGAAGAGGTGCTAGGGGAGGCAGTGAAATAAAGTGAGACAATACCTGTTAACACTGAGCTCCACAGTGAAACATTAAGTCAGCCAGAATTATTCAGGTCAAATTTTAAGAAATCAGGCATATGTGAGTGGCTATACTTTGTTTAAAATCCTTCATATGAAATTCTTAACTCTTGCATGACTATTTGTAAACATGTATTTGAAAACACGTTTTCAGGAAATTTTACTCTATCTGGAGCTCTGGGGCGCAGCGCCTAAGGCATCTGACTGCCAACCAGAAGATTGGCGGTTCAAACCCACCAGCCACTCTGTCGAAGGAAGACTGGCCAACCTACTTCTGTAAAGATTTACCACCTCAGAAACCCAAAGGGGGTCACCATGAGTCGGAATCAACTCGATGGCAGTGAGTCTGGTTTTCTTTTTAGTTACTCCATCTAGCTAATAGACAATTAATAAATGTTTGCTAAACAAAATAATCCAGCAATAATCAGAAGGAAAGAAAATCTGATAACCTGAAATGGTTCTTCTATATCTCTTCAACATGTATCCTGGATTTTTTTGGTTTCTATACCTTGATGCCCAGTTCCTTCTACCTAGATGACACATTGAGCTATAGATATCTGAAATAAAAGGTAAGCCCAAATGCCACTTCCTCCACATGTTCTTCCATCCCCGAGGGAAATTTAATCTCTCTCACCTTGATAATGTGCATGTCATGTTCACTAATTTACAACTTACCAATCCTTGTACCAAAGTTATACTTTCTATTTTACATATATATGTTTTTCATTTACATATTGATAAGGTTGTTATATAAAACATTCTAGCTGAGATGGAAATATTATATAAATTAGTTGCTTAGGGACAGGAACATCTTTGTATCTAATACAGTGTCTTGCACATAGAAGGCACCAAGAAATGTTTTCTGAATGAGCCCAACTGCAGACTGTAGAATCTGGAACAATAATATAGGAATGCTTTATCTGGAAAAGAGGTTGTTCACTGATTTATCCCAACACTTACTGAGCAACTCAGTTAAGATGACATGCTATGACCGCATAGAATGTCACGTTATCCAGGCACTCCAAAGTGAAAAAAGAAGTTGAAGGTTGAAAATAAAATTAGCCTAAGGAAGGTTCAGCTCTAAAATCTATAAGGCCATAACTTACATTTAGGGGAAACCACTAATACTTATGAAAAACAGACTTTTCAGATAAACACGTACATCACCTAGTGAAGAACATTAAAGAAGTCTGACTGGCACAGACACTACCAGAAAATTTGGGAGTGTATGACTTCCAAACAAGATTAAAATAAAATTGTATATTTAGAGATGAAATATCTCAATAAACTTACTTCAAATGGTCCAGAAAAAAATAATGTGCATATGGTACTCATGTTCATATCCTTTCAACTTTTCAGTAAGTTTAAAATTTTTTAAAATAAAAAGTAATTTTAAAAAGTATCCCTTACAGTAATTATAAGGCATCTGAATCAGTACATTCTCATTAGTGCAGATTGAAAACGTCTTAAAAATACATACTTCGGTGTTGAGACTGATGAAAAGAGTATGTTTTGCTTCTTTCTGGAGAGTAGCTTCTACTGCTGACACTGGAGCCAGACCTGCTGTGTGGAGAATCCTTTCGGCCTACAGGTGATTCTCTGAAAAAAGGATTGTCCCTTTTATGAGGAGATCGCTCTCTCCCATAATGAGAAGAGTAGAAACTTTTTCTTCTAAAGCCATCTCTCACATCCCTGTGAAGGAAAAAAAAAAAAGTTAATTATATCCTGTAACCTATATATAGTAACCCTAGTATCACAGAGGTTAGGCACACAGCTGCTAACCAAAAGGCTGGAAGTTCAAATTCACCATTGGCTCGAACCCACCAGAGGTTCCATGGGAGGAAAAACTGCTGATCTGCTCTCATAAAGATTACATCCTACAAAACCCTATGGCAGGTCTAATCTGTCCTACTGGGTCAATGTGAGTCAGAAGTGACTCAACAATTTTAAGAAATCAGGCATATGTGAGTGGCTATGCTTTGTTTGAAATCCTTCATATGACATCCCTAACTCTTTCATGACTATATGTAAACATGTATTCAAAAACATGTTTTTAGGAAAGCTTTACTCCATCCGAAGCTATGGTGGCACAGTGCCTAAGGCATTTGACTGCTAACCAGAAGGTTCAAACCCATCGGCCACTCCACAGAAAGAAGACCAGACAATCTACTTCTGTAAAAAACTTACCACCTCAGAAACCCAAAGGGGGGTCACTGAGTCGGAACCGAGTTCCTGGGTGGAACAAAAGTTAAGTGCTCCGCTACTAGCCAGGAGATTGGCAATTCAAATCCACCCAGACATACCTCCCAAGAAAACACTGCTGATCTGCTTCCAAAAAAATCACAGCCCTTGAAAATCCTATGGAGCTCTACGGTGACACCCAGAAGGTCATCTTAAGTCAGAGTTTACTTGACAGCAACTAACAACAGTACAGCAAAACCATCTTTAAATGTCAAAGCAAACCAAAATTATTAAAACAAACAATCAGAACATGGACAAAACAACAACAAACAAACAAACAAAAAACTGCCATTGAGTAAATTCTGACTCACAGCAACTCCCATTGGGTTTCCAAGACTGTAAATCTTTTTTTTTTTTTTTTTAAATTGTGTATTGGGTTCAAATTTACAAAGCAAATCTGTTTTACATTCAACAATTCATGCACATTTGACTTCACAGCCCTGATTACCATCCCCAGCCATTAAAAAAAAAAAAACTCTCCTCCTGGTGCCCTTCTTATCTATACATTCCTGCCTGTCCAGGTTTCCCTCTATGTGAATGCCACCCCTCTGATGTCTCACGGCTGGTTGATCTAAGGGGTGCATCTCCCTAGGGTGGGTGGGTGCATCACCCTGGGTAAGTGTTCTGCATGTAGGTCTTTCAACTGTTGGGCTATGAGCCAGTCCATGGAAGTAAGTCCATTTCTAGGCCCAAAGAGTAACCCAGGGCTATAGTCTTGAGGATTCCACCAGTCTCTATCCAACCAGTAATTCTGGTCATTTTTGTATTTTTTTAATTTTGTTCCACATTTTTCCTCTCACTCTATCCAGGATCTCCAATTTTGACTCCTTTCTGAGTGGTTGGCATTGGTAGCTGGGCACCATCTGGGTCTTCTGGTCTTGGTGTAGTCCTCAAGGTCTATCCTATCTCTGGGCTAACTGTTTCCAGATGACTTTAATTTCCTTCACTCTTCTTTGCTCCAGATGAGAGGATACCAGTAGGTGCATCTTAGATGGCTGCTCCAGAGCTTTTAAAACCCCAGTCGCTACTCATCAAAGTAGGATGTGGAACAAGATTTTTATGTACTATGTTGCACCAATTGAGTATGATGTCCCCGACACTATGGTCCCAAGCCTGCGGGCCCAGTTGATTCTCTCTCTCAAGGTATTTGGTTGTCTCTGAGAAGCTACTCCAACCCTGTCTTCTACTGCTTCTGTAACGTATGTGGATAATTTTGTAGCACAAGTGCACATGTAAGATTAGCTTCAGGCTGTAAATCTTTACGGATGCCTCATCTTCCTCCCAAGAAAAAGCTGGTGTGTTTGAACTACCAACCTTTTGGTTAGCAGTCAAATGCCTTAGCTACTACCTCTATTAAAAGAACACTTTTAACTGAAGATTTAGTGGACAGAAGCATGCTAAGAGACAAACCAATGACCTAGATTTTCAAATGCTTGGAAAATAGTTAACTGGTAGTCACCCATACGTAAATAGGTTGATGTCCAAAAATTCATTTGAAGATTAGCTGATTAGAATCCGAAAAATACTGCCCATATAGACACAATTAAGTTTTCCTGGGCAAACTTATGAAGTTGTTAAAACTCATTTATGACAAATAAACTCTGATAGAACACTAACTTTTAAACAAAGCATTAAAGAAGCTAATAGTGCAGTCACCAAAACTACCAGAGTCATACTGAAATCACACTAGTTCAATGGACTGGTTGTATATGTAACAACATATATAAAACAGGCTTTAGCGCACCTAAACAAACAGGAAGTAGGAACTGCATCAGGTGCTGAGGACCCAATAGTGCACCAAATGCACAGAAGCCCTGCCATCCCAGAGCTCTCAGGCTAGCAGAAGAGGCTGACCTCAAACACATACACACAAAACATGCATCAAGAGTGAGCACAGGGAGACTAATTAAAGACTGACTTAATCCAGGCAAAAGACAGTGGTAGTTTAGATAGCATGGGGGCAAAGGGATCATAAACTAAAAAAACACAAAAATACACCTTTGAAAGTAGATTCAATGGAACTAACAAATGTGAGAGACAGGGGTGTGAAGATGATTCTCGAAATTCCAGCATAACGAGTTAATGAAATGAGAAAAAAGTAAATTTCAGAAGCAGGGGTGAGGGTAAGAAATTCAATTTTTAGACTGAAGCCCCTTATTTTTGAGATACTCATGTAACATCAAGGTAGGAAAGTACAGATACTAGTCTCAAGTTCAGAAGAGAATTGTTGGCTATAAATATAAATTTGTCTATAAATAGGCACTATTTAAAGCCATGGTTATGGATTAAAAACAGAGCATAAAGAAGAGCAGAGCCCACAGAGATTATTGCTAAAAAATTACAAAATTAAGAAAGAAATGGGCTGTTGAAGAATGAATGACTGGCCAGAAAAACACGATGGAAACAAGAGAGTAAATTAGAAAATCTAAGGAAATAGTGCTACAAATCAAATAAACATTTATTGGTAAACTGCTCAGGGGGTGGAGAAGAGCAGGCCCACATTCAGAGGAAAGACTGCCTAAATTCTACCAGAGGGAAAGGACAGACAAATGCTGAACTACAGTTTCCTAAGCCTGTCACCAGATGGCGGCAAAATCAAAGCACAATTTAGAACTATCAGCGTGGCCTGGGGTGGCTGGACGAACCTGGCAGATATTTATGTCAGATTTTAATAGCTCAAAGCAGAATACGTCTCTCCAACCACCCACCAATTTAAGCAAAAAATATCCCAACACTTATCATTTATCTAAAGTATCCTCCTTGATAATGTAGTAATATTAGCCAAGTTATTTCTACTAAGGTGAATTGACCTTGCTCTACAGAAGTTTAGATCTAATTAGGGAGATGGAAGAACAGTGTAAATGTTTAGGGGAGATGGTACTATAATTGAGAAGGGAAATATTAGTAATCTCCTCCTTATCCATGGGGCATACTTTCCAAGACCCCCAATGGATACCTGTAACCATGGACAGTATCAAATTCTACATACACTGTTTTTTCCTATAAATATATGTAAGATAGTACCCACGATACCACAGGCAGGCAGCATTAATCCAGCTGGCAGGGCACAGTACAGCACAGCCGCAGCAGCTCACCCACCTGTTTCGGCATATTCAAATTGCCAGCATCATTCCTCTTAAGCTTTGGGGCCATTAAGTAAAAACATGCATTATTTTAAACTTAAGCACTATGACACTGCATGTTCTGGTTACCGAGTGCTGCTTTGACAAGAAAATACCACAAATGGGAAAGCCTTAAAAAGAGGAGTTTATTCTCTTACAGTTCAGGAGGCTAGAGTTCCGAGTTCAAAGTGCCAGGCTCTAGAGGCTGTGTGAAAGCCCCTCAACTCTGGGTTTCAGCTCTGCCTCTTGCTCCCGGCCCACTGAAGCTAGAGGTATCTCTACACTCAGGCAGCTACTGGCTGCTGAGGCTAACAAGCCCAAGGTCGAAAAACAAAATGGCATAGTCTCGATGTTACCAAACCACACAGCAGGCCATTAATTCAAGTCCATTTAAGTCCCAAGGTCAGCAGAGCATGGCAGGCTGCTAAACAACAACACAACTACATGCAGGGCTCAACCATGCCATAAGCTAGAGACTATTCCCAAAGCTGCTGCTTATATACAGGAAGTAGACCACATCCCTGAAGCAGCTCTCAATACATTCCACCACGGGGTTAATCACCAATCTCACCATGGGGAATAACTACATCCACCTGCCCAGCCACTTAACCAAACCTGGTCAAGTTTATACTCAAACTTAACTACCACACCGCAAGAGCTGATTTGATAACTAAGATGGCTATTAAGTGATTGACAGGTAGCAAGCAGGTTAACTTATATAGCGTGGATAAACTGGACAAAGGGATGATTCATGTCTCAGGAGGGACTGAGCAAGATTTTCTTCGCACTACTCGGAAGATCGGCATAATTGAAGTATTTCAGACTGCAGCTGACCCTGAGCAACTGAAATCATGGAAAGAGAAACCACAGAGAAGAGAGGGCTACTTTATATAGAAAACTGATCTGGATCTTTAAAGAAAGTGAGATTTAGATAAGAACTGCATCTAACAAAAACAAAATTGAACTATATATGTTGTTGTTGTTGTTATGTGCCATAGAGGTCTCATAAAGACCCCTCCTTGGGTTTCCAAGGTGGTATCACTATGGAAGTAGATTGCCCAACCTTCCTTCCAAGGAGTGGCTGATGGGTTTGAACCGTCAGCCTTCTGGTTAGCAGTCAAGTGCCTGAGGCACTACACCACCAGAGCTACCAAACTATATATTTAATAACCATATTTTAAAGAGAAGCAGGAGAAATTAATTTTAATACTACATTTTACTTATACCAATACAGGCATACTTCGTTTTATTGCACTTCTTTTCATTAGTTTCACATATATTGTTTTTTTTAAAAAAAACAAATAGAAGGTCTGTAGTAACACTGCGGCC